CGAATAACAACTATGTACTCCTGTAGATTTTCGTCTGCCCTGTTCTTATCTGTAACACGAATAACAACTATGTAATACGGTATTCCTGTACATTTTCGTCTGTCGCGTTCTTATCTGTAACACGAATAACAACTATGTATTCCTATAGATTTTCGTCTGCCACGTTCTTATCTGCAACACGAATAACAACTATGTATTCCTGTAGATTTTCGTCTGCCACGTTCTTATCTGTAACACGAATAACAACTATGTATTCCTGTAGATTTTCGTCTGCCACGTTCTTATCTGCAACACGAATAACAACTATGTATTCCTGTAGATTTTCGTCTGTCGCGTTCTTATCTGCAACACGAATAACAACTATGTATTCTTGTAGATTTTCGTCTGCGCCACATTCTTATCTGCAACACGAATAACAACTATGTACTCCTGTAGATTTTCGTCTGCGCCACGTTCTTATCTGTAACACGAATAACAACTATGTATACTATTTTTGGAATCTTTCGTTCTCTGTGTGTTATACAGCTTAATTGTCGCTATATTGTCTTTTTTTCTGTCTTGTCCTCTCTGTCTCTCTTTCTCTCCTACTCTATCTCTCTCTCTCGCTCTCTCCCTCTCTCCCTCTCCCCCTGTCTCTCTCTTAATTGTAATTGTATTAATTAAGCTTAATTGTCGGCGGCTGTGGTGCCTTCATGGCTTCAGTGATGCTAGGGAATGTGTTAACATTGCCTGCAAACATGCACGAGGTTTAACCATTAGTGTATTTACATGTACATGGGAATAAGCAAGTGTCTAATAATAACTAACACAGTAACATTATGTTGTCTTCTTTCTGCCTTGGGCCCCTCTCTCTCTTTCTCTCTCTCTCTCTCTCTCTCCCTTCTCTCTCTCTCTACTCTCTTCTCTCCTCTCTATCTCTGTCTTTCCTACTCTTCTCCCCTTTGCTCTCTCTCTCTCTCTCCTTTCAGTCCTCTCTCTTCTCTCTCTCTCTCTCTCTTTGCTCTTGTACTCTCTTTATCTCTCTCTCCTCACTCTCTCTCCTTCCTCGTCTCTTTACTTCTCACCCTCTCCCCCTCTCTCTTTCTCTCTTCCCTCTCTTCCTCTCTTCCCCTCCCTCTCCCCTCTCTTCCTCTCTTCTCCCCTCCCTCTCCCCTCTCTCTTTCTCTTCTCTCTTCCTCTTCTCCCCTCTTCGTCTTTTCTCCTCCCCTCTCTTCCTCTTCTCCCTCCCTCTCCCCCTCTCTCTCGCTATCATCCCGCTGCTGCTCTCATATTGCCCGTGTGCGTGCTCTTTTGGTAATTTGCTTCCCGGTGTCATGATGCTGCGATTCATCCGGCTCGGTGAATCATCAACAGGAATGCTGGCGACACATGTTTTCATCAGCGAGCACCGCGCGCTGTCGGACCCCTCCATACTGCGACTCGCGCACGCCCCCCCGATCCCATCGTCGCGATATCGCCGTGCATTAATCCCCACGTCGCTGTTAAGAAAAAAATTTTGTTTCAGCTTAATGAGGCGCGATTATGATAAACGCTTGGCAGACGATCGAGCTAACGACTGGCTTAGGGCATTCGCTTCGTTCACGCTAGCATGCGGGACATTGGCGCTGTCTACCCTGCCTGTACTTATATAATATTATAGTCAAAGAGCGATATAAAGAAGGAAGAGCGTACAAGGGTAAAATGCTGAAACCATGCTGCAGTATTAGTCGAATTAATAAACTTTTCCCGTTTTATTTTGACGATCCTTGCAGTTTTAATTGATTAGCTGTCTTACTTGTTCATATAAAACAAACCGCATGTCCCTACGATGCCCTACGCTAGATAATGAGCGGTGAAAATCTGGTATTTTCACCGAAACCCGACTCGCGATCAGTGTTTACTGCGTCCCTCACTCGAAGTGTTAATAACTTCAGGAAACTCGCGCTGTCCCGGAATGACGTCTGTTATTGATTGCCATAGTGATGACCCCCACCTGTGCCCACCTCACGCCCACCTCACACTGGATGTATAGTAAGCTCTGGTAGTATTACGTGAGTCAGCGCCACTATGGCGCTACACAGCGGCGACCGGAAGCAACACACTGGAAACACTTCGAGTGAGGGACGCAGTAAACACTGATCCCGAGTCGGGTTTCGGTGAAAATACCAGATTTTCACCGCTCATTATCTTAGCGTAGGGGCATCGTAGGGACATGCGGTTTGTTTTATATGAACAAGGTAAGACAGCTAATCAATAATACTGCAAAGGATCGTCAAAATAAAACGGGAAAAGTTTATTAATTCGACTAATACTGCAGCATGGTTTCAGCATTTTACCCTTGTACGCTCTCCTTCTATATCTGCTCTTACTTATATATATATGCGCTCATGTGAGAGAGGAACCAAGTAAAATGACGCCCATCTTCCTGAAGGAGATCGAATGTTCACTTTAGTTCTTGTGGCTTCAGTACGAGATCCGGGAAAATGTAATCTCATCAAGCAGAAGATTCGTAGAAATCTTATAAGATTACGCAGACTTGAAAGTTCACTCGTTGGGTATAGTCACTATAAATAATATATCGTGTGAGCGCGCTGTGTATAACGAATGTATGCAGAGATGTAACAAAACATCTAGTAAACATCTCCAGTGAGGCTGAAGGGGTCGTTGTCGTATCAGGTATACCCGAGGTACATATATGTATACACAAAGTGTACCAGACTTGTACTACAGAAGTGTACCCTAACCCTAACCCTAACCCTAACCCTAAACATACCTCATATCAAAATATAAACATAATACTAAACAACCTAAAACTACCTCAACCTAGGTACATAAATGTAGTACCCTATACGACAACGACCCTTCGTGCTCCAGTGAGTATCCTAACTATAATGTCTATGTGTCTGTAGTTAGCTATGTGCCCTAAGACAACAGGGGGGCCGTTGTCAGAAACATTGTAAAGTTCATGCTCATGTTAATGCTAAGATAGCACGTACGACTAATGTTAACGTTACGACTAATGTTAAGACTACTTTTTATTCAGACAACGGGCCCCATGTCCCTGGTTTTGCCGTGCTGACGCATTAGTAATTGACCGTAGTCAAACGAGTCACCGGGCTAACCGACTGATATATCATGCCTTATAATGAAGTCGTGTGTTTGTGACCAACTGTGTGTGACTTCAGTGTGCAAGCAAACGTAGATGGAGCTCTAAAAGTTAGCGATGAACACAGCTCTCATGAGTGAATCCACACATACAGAGGGGGATAGGAAGCCATAGTTAGTGGCGTCCCCTAGTTTCAAGACCGCAAGGTTTCATCGAAAGATGACGTTTGTTAAATGTGTTGATAGTTGGGTACGTGAACACAACTTTAAACACAAAGCACAACCTCTGTTCTCCCACTTCTACGCCCCTGAACAACTTATTTTCTAAGATGCTCTGCAGTACGTTGGACAAAGAGCCACTTTCTTCCCGCTTTCTGTTTGAACTAGAGGCGGTCTGTTTGCCATGATACATCTACGTACTGTGTAACTGTGGACACTGCAACTACAAGCAACCCCAAGCAAGAATGAAGCCATGTCTGCCAGTCTGGGGTCAAATGTCAGAAACAAAATTTGTCTTAATATTTGCCTTACCAGTAAAATTTTCTCATATGACAGAGTGGACCTCTATACACAGTGTACGAGTATCTCGTAACTTCACCCCGTTTCTGTCAACGGTCTAAGAGAACAAGAGCCGCAGAGCGTCTGGGCTCATCTGAGGTCTGTTGCTACGATTATAAACGTAAAATTGCGTGTGTGTGTGTGTGTGAAAGAGAGAGCTAGAGAGCGAGAGAGGACGGATGAAAGGATAGACGGCAGGAGTGCATATATTCATATTGTATATTTACGGCAATCAGCAGAGCGTCCCATTGCGCAATCATGCGTGTACGCAAGTCGCGCGATCACTGTGTGAGTGGATGTCCGGATCCGTAGCCTGGAGGCTAGGCGACCGGTTCCGGACGCGTAGCCACTGCGGAAAAATTATGGTAAATAAACACGAAATGTATTTACTACCAAAGTCTTAGTTTCTTTATCCTATTATTTCGAAATACATTATCTTTGCTGACAACCTGGGGAGTGGGAGAAAGAGGGGGTGGGAAGTGCCGAAGTGGCTTAACTGCGTCTATGCAACTATAGCGGGCAAATGATTTCAAGATGCAAATTCTAAAGCAAAAACGTGGATATAAGAACGGAAATATACAAGTCTATTTTACACATAATTGTGTTTATTACGGAATTTCGATTATTGATATCAGCAAGCACAATATTAGAAATACGTGAAATTCTGATTTTACTCAATACCACACTGGATATGACTATGGCATCGGGAACTGGTCACTTTTTCATAATTAGTGAATAATGAGTTAATTTTGATATGTGTATTATTACTGTATTACATTATCTACAGTGTAAACCATTAAATAAGTAAAATGCATAAAAATGTATAACAAAATACAAATCTTTGACTTGCTGTTTTCGAGCAGGTGTACATGAACATTGCACAGCAAACAGTTATGCTATTTTACACGTTAACCTAGATGCATTGAGATACAACTCTAGACTGCACCCAATAGGTAGCAATAAGGAAAGCTTATGCAAGACTGCATCGTCTGCTATACACAAATACATCATGTTTCGTTAATGCGTAAAGAAGTCCTCTTCCTAAACATATATTTTTTGCTACAAAGACTCGTTGTTCCAAGTATCTATGAATATGACCGTGACCTTTGTGATGCTCAGTCACGAATTGCGAATTGCAATGAAGTGATTAATCGAATGCAGTTAGAGAATCAATCAGTTGCCATCACCTTGCATTATGCATTTACACTTACAGACCTTGCACAGTAATGACATAAGCATAGAGTAGACACATACCAGCGACACGAGATTCAGGTGAGGTTGAATGCTGCTTCTTCAGATTACACGTACTAACAGACTATATTATATATAGTCGCTGGGCATATCCTGGAGTGGAGTCTCCGAATGGAATAACGTTCCAAATGAACGTAAACTGCTACTATAATGTGGTAAGTTGTGATTCGGTTGACGGATATCCAGTTTAATCTATGTTCACCGTTAGATACCATGCAATCATGTATGCGCCCACAGCGTCCTAAACCACAAACGCAAACTTCGTGAAGAGGTGTACGATCAGTAACGATGCTCTATTATGCAGACGTTTTTCACTAAACCCATACAAAGTACATGATACAGTTAACAGTTGTGATGTCACGAATTCACTTCGTTGAACTGTACGGAGTAGGAGCGAATAAATGCGGCTAGTAACTTCATGTTCGCCTTGTATATTCTCTGCCGAACTTACGATCATTACGAACTTTACGAAACATCCAATACTAGCAGGGTTGTTGATTATCATAAAATCCTTCTTTGAGCATATACACCCGAGACGCATAAGCTACGTAGACAAAAACTGGAGTGTATTTTCTCACTGTTACATCATTGCCTATGCACGAATATCACTACATGCAAACACCTGCTTAGACATGTTGTTTGGCCAACATGCAAAACTATGTACATGTAAAGAGTAGTTGTAGCATCACATTGTACTTCCTAAAACATTTTCACACGCGGCCACACACGCACGCACACGCACACACACACACGAACACACATACACACACACGAACACACGAACACACATACACACACACGAACACACGCACGCACGCACGCACGCACGCACGGTCTTACTCTACAATCACACACTCTCACACTATTCTAAAGAAATAACATCATTTCTCACAAATTACTACAGAATCACACCCCATCAAATCCACGTATTTCTCGCTCAGCATTTGCTCAATCATGTCTGTAAATAATATCTATCTGTCACATTTGCACAATCGTACATCCTTAGCGATTCATACGAGAAAAACACCACGATATCAGTCACATTATATGTCAATGAAACGTAGCTAAAATTTGATATAAAAAATTTATTATGTGGAATTATGGCAGAAATGTCTTGTCAGACCGATCGGAAACCAGACAGCTGAGTAATGCAGAGGACGTGTGAAAGCATGGCGCACAAACATTCGCAAAGCAACGAAACCCACAAGATAAAAATATCAAAGCATCGACAAGTGAAAAACCAATCTCTTATACACAACCTACTTTACAACAGAACTGTGTCTTACACACTGAGAGAGAGAGAGAGAGAGAGAGAGAGTTATGCGATACACCATCATACGCGTTCTGACCACTCGTGAATATTTGTTCACACCGTGGCGTGGCAACGCCGAGCCGTGCCCTCTACCATGTTTACCCACAAATACAGGATGACGCTGTATTTTGTAGCCGGCTCAAACCTAACAGAGTCGCGACTCCAAACGTCAAAACTGAGCAGCGCGCACTTTCGCTCCGTGTGCATCATGCCTTCACCAAATCTCTACCACGCAGACAGAGAGGTGACCTCTACATGTGTGGACTTACGCACGCACTCATGCACGCACGCGGGGGACTCGAGGCCACCGGTAACGCATCCTTCTACATCACTTGCTATTTACAGACTGCTTATGCATCGCTAGCATGTGTCGACCATCCATCCATCCATCCGCCAGCCATCACACGATCCCTCGCCGTCGTTTCCCATGCCATCGTCCGTCCACACCCTTGCCCGCTCCTCGTTCAGTGGTCATCCTCGTTCGGTGGTAGGTGCAGGCCCATGGAGCCGATGATGGTGGAGGCGGGACCGGGCGCGCCGCGCTGCGCATCGTAGGACTCCAGCAGGTTGTGTACAAGATTGAGGTCAACGTCGACGGGACGGTAGTCACCAAAGTCATCGTCGCCCGTTGACACCTCCTCTATGCGCGGCCCTGATGACACCTCCTCTATACGCGGCCCTGATGACACCTCCTCTATGCGCGGCCCTGATGACACCTCCTCTATGCGCGGCCCTGATGACACCTCCTCTATGCGCGGCCCTGATGACACCTCCTCTATGCGAGGCCCGCTGCCACTGGTGAGAGGAGGGTCCGTGTTCTGCAAATAGTAATGGTGGCATTAGAGAGATGGCATAGCTGCTGGTGGTGGTGAGCGGAAGGTCCCTGATCTAGGAATAGTAATGATGGCATTAGAGAGATGGCATAGCTGCTGGTGGTGGTGAGCGGAAGGTCCCTGATCTAGGAATAGTAATGATGGCATTAGAGAGATGGCATAGCTGCTGCTGGAGGTGAGAGCAGGATCTGTGTTCTGCTACGGATCGGACTGCTACACTATCTGCTGGATCTTTATCTATCGTCCTCCCTGAATGCTGTTCACAGTACAAACAGAATGCCTGGGGTGGAAGCCCCCAAAATAAGATGACAAAGAGGAAAAATAACTGGTTATTTTATTCAATCGGCAAAACATAGAATCTTAGTACAAGTAGAAAAACCCAGCCCACTACAAATGAGGACTATTCTGGTAGACTCTGCACACTATACACATCATGGGTGATACTAGCGCGTAATTTAACCTAACTACAACGTGCTGCCCTCTAGCGTCACAATTTGTGCCTAATGATCAGGGATATATATGCTAGTTATTTGAATGTGCAGACTACACCATTGTGTGATCATGCTCTGATCTACTGCTTCACTCTGCCCCTGACAGTGCCTTCTGTAGGACATAGTTGGTCCGTATGTGGTATAAATATAATCATCATCACTCAGGGTTACCCCAAAACTTTGTCCCCTTTATAGACAAGATGTCTATTCTATACAGGTGGTTTCACTGAACACATCTCTAGCCATTGCCACTTAAATGAAACACTTAAATGAAGTGTCCTTTATAGACAGGTGTGCCTTCAATAGAGGTGGATTCACTACATAACTGTTACTCAAGCGCAACAACCAGTGTCCTCTAAAGACAGGTGTCCTCTCCGTAGAGGTTATCGCTAACCCAGGTGTGGCCGTATTAGGCAGTACTCACAAAGTGTTCGGTGACTGTCGTCTCGACACGCTCGTAGCACTGGCCCACGTTGGTTCGCGCCAGCTCTCGCTCAAAGCTTTGCCCCACGTGCGTGCGTGCAAGTTCACGGTCCATCAACTCTATATACTCCTGTAGATTTTCGTCTGCAACGTTCTTATCTGCAACACGAATAACAACTATGTACTCCTGTAGATTTTCGTCTGCCCGCCCACTATCGTAGATGGAGGGTAGTGGGAAGGTGTGGGGAGGGGTGGGGAGGGTGGGGAAGGGGCAGGGGGAGGGGGAAGGGCAAGTGGGGGAGGGGGGCTCTAATAGCAAAAGCAGTTCACTCCTTTGTTAACAGTCAACAAATCACATGTTTAACCCTCCTCTGAGGTCAAAAGGTTATCAGACACTTACTCTTCGCCGGTCAGTGGAAAGCACATTTCATGGTCCTTTCAATAAAGCCATAAAAATGGTAGGTCACCGCTGAAACAAAAAAGTTTTTCAATCGCTCGGTCACACCATGTCCTCAGAAAATGTCTAAAATCTGCCCTGTGCCCCATTGACCTTTGACTCTGTGATCTCCAATTTCGGCACAGTGATGGCTTTTCCTACCATGATGCTATACACCGACTATCACGAGCCTAGGTCGAGCCGTTAGATTTGTGGCCGCAATTCTGCATTTCCTCCCTATACCTTAAGTTAAGGAGGGAATGTTCCCCTTCTTTTACACCTCTTGACCTTTGACCTTTGACCCCCAGCTTCGACATCCAACTCGTTTTCGAAATACCCCCCACGTCCCGAATATCGTGACCGTACGTCGAGCCGTTTAGATTGTGGCCCCACTGTTGACGGACGGACGGACGGGACGCTCGGCGGACGGACCG